GAGTGGCCTTCCCTCCGGAGGTAGCCGTAGTACTGGGCGTCGTAGCCTCCGGCCAAGTGGCCAAACGTGGCGGGCATGTTTGTACCTTCACGGGAGAGGAAGGGAAGGGGCGTTAACGGGAAAGGCTGCTGGAACCGCTCACGGCACGGAAAAAGCCCTCCGTGCTGTACATGTCAGAGCAGGCACTGGGTCAGCTTGTTCACAGTCCCAGGGGAAGCAGGGAAGAACTTTCCAGTTATTTTTGTACGGTTTCAGCCCTGCTTTTCCGGGAGCCAGCAGAAACTGTTCCCATCGAGCCAGCCTGAAGCCGCAGCCTTGAAAAGAACCTGCTGAGCCAAACCTGCAGGCTAGGCCCGGGGAGACCCCCAAGCCCCTGGGTACCTGGGGTAGCGGGGACGCCCAGCACCTCCTCACACAGCCGGGCAAACACCTCCACGGGGTCGGCCTTCGTCTGGGTGTGCAGCGCCTGGTCCACCTTGGCCAGGACGATCTGACGCAAGTTGAAGAGCCCTGTTCCCGGAAGGAGGAGGCAAACTCAGCTCCTGCCTGCTGCCCCGAGCGTCTCCGAGGCCGGGCTGCAGCAGGGCAGGCTGGGGGGCTCCCATAGTTCTCCCCACACCCAACTTCAGACCCGCTTCCCCAGCCCAGCCCAGTTCGGCAGCACCGGCTCAGGCCGAAGCCGCATCCTCTGCCTGCAGACAACCCCCACCTCCCGCTGCACCTCCTGCCACCCCACCATTGCTCTGCCCGGACTAACAGCCAGCAGATGGGGTTCCTTCCCCCCAGTCCCCTCGGTCCCCACAGCACCACGGGGAGCAAGGCAAAGCCTTTCCTCTGCCCGGACAGTTCATGCAGGGTCCCCTTCCCCCTCCCCATGCACAGGGGACACCTCGGCGAGGATGCGCCCTCGCCCTCCCTCCCCTCCAGCCCCTCTTCGCTGGTCCCACTTCCCTCCGCCGGCACCCCGTTTGCTTGCCGGGATTTAATGAGCTTCTCCAGCAGCTCGTCGGGGATGGGGCTTCCAGTTTTGTAGTGCCTGGACATGCGCAGCAGCGGCTCTTTCTCCCACACCCAGTTCTCCAGCATCTGCGACGGTGCCTCCACGAAGTCCCGCTCCACGTGTGTCCCACTGAACATGGCAAACTCCGCCTAGGAGACACGGCAAGCTCAGAGCGGGGAGTCATTCAACCCCGCAGGGGAGCACGACAGGGGCAAGGTAACAAACCAACCCTCTGCCAGCCCAGCCGGGCCTCACCTGAGAGCACAGCTGGTGCATGACGTGCCCAAATTCATGGAAGTACGTCTCCACCTCGTCGTGCTGCAGCAGGGAAGGCGCATCCGGCGTGGGCTTGGTGAAATTGGCCACCATGGCGGCCACCGAGAAATGCGGGGCTGCGGCCGGCCACCCCGTGGCCAGGCACCAGCCACCGCAGCCCTGCTCAGAGCAGAAGCCTCTGGAGAGCCCATGCTCCCGGGACAGCCCTGCCCAAGCACACGCCGCTCCCTCCGCACAGCCCAGCGTCCGGGAGCAGAACGGCCTCTCCTCCTCCCCAGGCACGGGGCAGGGTCTGTTCCCCCTGCCCCAGCCCTCCTCCCCTGCTTCGCCTCGCCCAAGGCCTCACCGTGGGTACAGGTCCAGGTAGAATTTGCCGATGATCTCCCCGGAGGAGGTGTCCTTCACCGTGTAGAGCTGGACGTCCTCGTGCCAGACCTGAGCCTTCTCTTCCAGCTGGAAGGTGAGCCCCAGCAGCTCCTGGTAAATGGCCAGCAGGCCTGTGGTGACCACCTGCATGGGGAAGTACTCCTTCAGCAGGTTCTGGTCCACGCTGTACTTGGTCTCCTCCACCTGGTTCATGTAATAGCGCATGTCCCAGGCATTGATGCGGTTGTCAAACTCCAGGCCACGCTTCTCGCACTCTTTCTTTTTCAGGTCCAGGATCACAGCCCGTTCCTTCTCCCCGAGGGGTTTCAGCTTCTCAGCCAGCTCATCTAGGAAAACCATGACGGGCAGGGTCAGTGCCTGGGGCTGAGTGCAGCACACCCGGCCCAGCGCATGTGCCCGCTCTTCACCTCCACACATCTCCAGCACAAAGTCTGCGTGGGTGTTGAAGCCCAGCAGACTGGCTTTCTGAGCCCGCAAGTCTACCAGCTCCTTGAGGATCAAGCAATTCTCCTGCAAGGTAGAGTCAGACAAAGAGTGAAGTGGGGTAAGAGGGGGAGAAAGGAAGCACGAGCCCTGGAGTGGAAAGAAGCACAAGTCTCAGAAGAGACCCCTTCGGGGCCTGGACCTGACCTGGCAGCCCGTCTGGCCTTGGGGGCAAGCAGCCAGGCCCACCTACCTCTTTGCACCTGGAGTTGAACATCTCCTCCACCTTCCTCCTCGTCTCCGGCACGTAGCACTTCTTCAGGAGAGGGAAATAGTGCGGGTATTTCAAGGTGACTTTCAGCTTGCCATCCTCTGTCTTCTCCAGGGAGTTCAGGAAGTCCTCCGGGAGCCCCCCTGAGAAAAGAGCAGGCAGGACTGACGGAGAGCCCAGGCCTCTCCAGAAATACCAGATCTGGGACCGAGCACAGGAACAGGCTCTGGCTCCTTGGCCAGAGGAATCCAGGCACTTCGGGCCACACCAGCAGAGAAATATGCCCGAGCGCTCCGTACCTAGTTCCTCCTTCGAGAAGGGCAAGTAGGTGGTGTCTTCGTTGAGGTTCTTGTTGAAGTCTATGCAAAGGACGCTCAGCTTTTTCTTAATAGCTTTGATTTTCTTTAAAATACAGATGAACAGGGAAAAGTCAGTCCAAAAGGAGAAGTCAAAGAGCACCGTTCACCGTCTCCAGCCAGCAGCCTGCCGGCCGACCTGCCCAGCACTTGGCTTTTATTCAAACGCAACGCTGCAGAATTAACTGCATGCAGGCGCTGAGCTCTCAGCCTTGACCAGGCTCCCTCTGATCACACCTGGCGGGGAAGCAGCCGCCTCAGCAAGGTCCCAGCTGTCTCCCACCAGCTCAGAGCTGCAGGTGTTCACGCAACAACCTCCTCTACCCTTATTTCATTTCACCTTCTCTTCTATTTTTAACGCAGCTTCCAGCTCCTTCGCTGAGCCACCGGCCCATGACAAGCGAGAGGCCCCTGCGCAGCTCAGCCCCCCAGCCCGCTCACGCCCCCAGCTCCTGGGGGCACCTTCCCTGACCGCCCCTTCGCACGCGGGGAGCGGGTGCTGCTTCCACTCCTGATCTGCACAGCCCTGTCTGCAATCTCAGCTTGTCGGGAGCCCTCCGACTCCCAGTGTCGACCTCGCTTTGTAAATGCCATCCCCATCCAACGGAGAGGAGAAAGAGGGGCACAGAGAGGTCACCCCCCACACCCAAGGCCACATGAATCAGGGAGAAAATTTAGGAGTCTGAGCCTCAGTTCTCTAACACTGCTCTGTCCTGTTAGCCCTACAAGGCCCTCTCTGTGTGTGCTTATTTTAAGCTCTGTGACCTCACCTCCTGCGTTTCCTCGGGGAGATGGAGACCATTTCTTTTACCCAGTTTGATCAGCCTCTCTAGATATCTCTTTGCCTCAGGCTTCAGTGAAGCGCTCTCTGCTTTCTCCTGTAAAACAAAACCCATGAGTGCAGGGAACCGCAGGATCAGGTGTTGCAGAATGTTGTTCCCGGTGTGAGCTGTGGGTTATCGTAACACCAGTGACCCAGAAGCAGATGGAAACAGCCCACAAGCAGGCTTTGGTTTGGTGCGTTAGTTCCTACCAGATTGCCTTAAACACATCCCCTTCATGCCGTGTTACAGCCCTTCTCGGGGCAGTACCCAGCCCCTTCCCCACGCGACGCAGGCTGGGTTCACCAACGCCATCTTCCCAACGGGGGAACCGAGGCCCTGAGGGGGGGCAGAGCCCTCCAACCCCAACTCCGCAGTTCTCACTAACAGCTGGACTATTCTGCCACGATCAACAGCGATTCTGCTCCAGACCTGACTCGGTATCACTCACTAGTAAGTTCTGGGACAAGGGAAACGGGTTTGTTGTAATTCCAGGAGGTTTCAGCGCCCTGCTCAGACGCACCGCTGAGCGAGCATCCTCCCAAGCACGCACCTGGAGCCAGACAATCCTCTGGTACACGTCCTGCCTCATGCTCATCTCCACGTCGAACTCCGAGAGCTTCTTGTCGGCCTCGGTGCTCGCCGCACGGATGTCTTTGCAAGGAGAGACGTGCTGGGGGAAGTCCAGCATGTTCCGACGGACTGGCAAGACATGAGAGGGATTATGGCGAAGGCAACGGCTTCACGGCCCAGCACTGCTCGGGAGTGGGAGTGCACACAGAGAGCCTGTGTTAACTGGGAGCCAGTCCGACGGCTCCGGAGCCTGACCTGCCCGCCCACACGAAGGAAGAGCAAGGCAGGCAGCTGCCGTCAGACGACACCGGAGCTGTGCTCTCCGAGCAGCGCCGTCACCCGCAGCACCCGCTCACCCGAGGGCGTCTGTCCATCACTTCCCATTGCGATCCATCTCTCTGACAAAACTCACACGAATATCGTGCCTGTGAGATGCCAACGCCTTTGCCCCAGCTACAGCGGGTACCAACAGTTTCAAGACTCACAGGACTGCTACGCTGGCAGAGGGGCAGCATTGCTGCGTGACTCCCCTGCTTAGAGGACCAGGCTAAAAGCAACACACCCTCACTGCAGACGCTCCTCAAAAGCCACCACGTCCCAGGTGTGCTCTGTCCCAACGTATTTCTATTTTAGAAGTGAAACCAGGGAGAACATTCCCTGCTACCAGCTCTGCAAGACCTCAGACAATACAGGTCCAGCGGGAAGGCGCTGCCCTCCAGGCAGGAGAACTCTCCACCCAGCAGAAGGTGAGCAGGCAGCTCCTCTCTGTTGGTCAGGGAAAGTGCTGACACTTCTGCTGAAGTTAACGTTACCCCTGCTTAGTAAGGGCTTTTCTTCTTATTTTAGAAAAAAAAGAAACCAGACAGAAGAAGGAGGCGGCTTGCAGGCTGGCTGCTGCTTCACACAGAGCTGACACCTCGCCACAGGGCGGTCAGGACAGCCAACAGACGCTGTGAGGCAGGAGCGGGGCAGCGTGACTTTGTGTCTCCGGCTAATCATTTACAGCAGGAGAACGCCACTGAGGCCGGCAGCGCCTGCCAGCACGATGCCACCACGTCACATTACTCCATACATAACCCTTAAAACGACAGCGGTGTTTAAACAAGACACAGGGAGAGACATTTATCCGCTGCCTTAGGGGAGAAGTTAGCTGTGAGGCAGGAGCGGGGCAGCGTGACTTTGTGTCTCCGGCTAATCATTTACAGCAGGAGAACGCCACTGAGGCCGGCAGCGCCTGCCAGCACGATGCCACCACGTCACATTACTCCATACATAACCCTTAAAACGACAGCGGTGTTTAAACAAGACACAGGGAGAGACATTTATCCGCTGCCTTAGGGGAGAAGTTAGAAAAGAGCCGAAGATTCCTGAGACCGTCCGAACCGCTGCTGCCGACGCGCAGTTTGTACCCACTGAAGCACTCCGACACGTAAAAGCAGGAGGCAACCCTGGAAGCCTGGCGACGCCTCCCACAGCCCATCCCGCTGCCAAAGAGCCGTCCTCGGCTTGGACTCGCTCTGCCGTTCCACATTGACTCTACTCTTTGTACTTCTATCTAGCTGTATGAACATTAACTGGAAAAAAACCCACCACGCTGCCGAGGGAGCCAAGGGAGCAGAAAAGGAGATGGCGGTACAGAGCGAGAAAAACACCAACAGAATCTTAATGACAAGACGCTGATCTCCAGAACGCCAGTACTCCCCCTCGGTGGACGTACCCGTGTATTCCACTTCCACGTCTGCCAGCGCCTTGAGCGTATTCTCATAGGACACCTCGCCCTGCTCCTGGGAGCCCACCCGGTCGTACACCAGCTTGGTCCTCTCCGTCAGCTCGGCGGCCATGCTTTCTATCTGTTCGGCCGTCAGGTCCCACCTCAGCTGATTCGCCAGCAGCCGGGGGGTCTGGCTATCCACAACGTTACCTGGGGACGCGGGGAGGAAACCCGCTGCGAGACGCAGTCCTGCACGGGCTGGAAAGAAAACCCAGCTGCGCAGCTGGCGCTCGATAAAAGCACTTAGAGGAGAGGCCCAGCAAAGGAACCACGCCGCTGGGCAGCCGGGATCGTGAGGAACGCAACCCGCAGCCGGATTATTTTCTGGGCACCGTCCACCCTCCCCGCCATGACGAGGCCTTCGAAGAAACCCGACTCCCGCCCGCCGTGACCCTGCCTGGCACCTCAGCCCCCCCGGTGGGGCAC